TATATAGTATATATATATATAGTATATATATATATATATATATATATATATATATATATATATATATATATATATATATATATATATATATATATATATATATATATATATAAGTACATGTTTTGATGTTCCATCAGACGCCTCTATTAGATATAGAAGAGGTATTAGAATAGTGGTAAACTGTTTCACCAAGAGCTGTAATTTAAGCATAAATTTTACGCATCCCGGGTAGAGAAGTTAGTGCACCTGACAATTGATTGTTAATTGTCGACTCCATGCTAATCTACCCTAACCCTAACTCTATCCGTTGCAACTACTAATACGTGCCGTACAAAGTATTCACACCTATATGATGCAGAAGTCAATCACTAGACACTCCACTATGGAGCCTAGTAAAACTTTTTCCGACTTGAATCCCTGTGCACCCTCGTTCCAAATCTCTGCAGAGGAACGTAGGCGAAATCGGTACTCTGTCGACTGTGTTGACTTCAGTGTCCTTAGCACAGACGCTGGCGCTGAGGGGTTCCTAAAGTACCTACGCCTCAAAAAGTATATTCCTTTGCTTGCTGAAAAGGGTGTGAGCTTTCTTCAACTTCTTGCCATGAACGAGAAAGACCTGTACGAGCTCGGAATCGTCGCAGATGGGCCTCGCATGCGCCTATTGAAAGCTATAGCCAGGTACCATCTTTTCCAGGCCAGCAAATGGGACGGGGAAGGTTCTGCATCTGCTGACGATACTACAGGCGACCTCGACAGCGATACTATCACCAGCCCCGCCAGCACACCCAAGAATAGAGCCTACATCGCAAATGTGGCAAATGGACCGGGTAGTATGACGACTAACGGTTCGTTTGTAGACTTGCATTCAGCTGTGCAGTCTATTCCAGCGACTGCGTACCAATTCTCGGGCTCTGCATCTGCAAGCACATCCACGCCTGTGAGTAGGTCATCATCCCAGGCCAGCTTACATGCACATATGCCTGCTTCTTTTGTACCCAATCCCGGGAGTGTTTCGCAACATCCGTCTTCGAACGGTGCCGCTTTTATGCAGGCTAGCTTACAGCCGGTACGCGAGGTTGCGATCGACTCTAGTGGCAACACCATCACCTGGAACATTCCCTTCCAGTCGACCACCAGTGCAAATCTCCTTGGAATGAATGACAGATTCATGAACGACCAGATGCAGCGCAAATCGTCTGCACCTCAGGTGTTTGGCTCTCTGGGCAACAGTACTAGAGATCTGCCCAACATGGACGTATGGCGGCATCAATCGCGCCATGATAGTCTGAGTGTGGGCAATCTCCATCTGACCTCAGGGCCGGGTACCGGTATGGGTACCGGTATGAGTGCCATGTCAGGTTACGGTAGTTGTGGTTTGACCGACCAAAGCACTACCCTTTTGAATAGCACTCGCAGTAGCAGTAGTACAATCTTCAGCAGTCGGCGTAGAGGGTCGAGCCTGTACTTGCACAAGATGTGGGAGGATCCAAACACTGAGCTTTCTGCGCCCAGAAAGAGTATGGTAGGGGAAAGCTTGAACAGCTCGCCTGTTAGCCAGAGGTATGAGAACGACCCCAGTACCTCTGTAAGTGAAGAAGAGCATGCCGGCGATGGGGAAGGCGATGAAGTTGACCTAACTCATGGCGAGGGGGTGTATGAACTTCAAGCTCAGATTGTTGGAAATATCATCTTCGACTTGGTCAACGAGTAATGAGATAAATGACGGGCGACGATGATGTTGTGAATGGAAGGCATCAACGTTAGCGTATACGCATAGCAAGTTCATCATTGGGGAACAGAAAGCGTCAGAAGACGCGTTTTATATAATCGGACTTCGTGTTTTATACCGAAACATGGGGGTATATCTACACATCACCAATTCACAAACCAAATCGGCATGAATGAGCCTTCGTCGTGTCGGCTTTATTTGCTGTATAAGAATTTAGCAAACACTGGATTTTTCTTATCAGTCTCCGCGACAACTATACAGCAGCACACAAGGTATCATATTTGTCAACGGAACTAGGACGTCCATTTGTAATGGACTCACAGACGTTGGCGTTGGCGCAATGTAAAAGTGGAGCTGCACTGTGTGCACCATTTCTCGCTGTCATGCCTACTACCAAATATTTATGTAATAAAGAGCAATTACTTTATATATCGTCCAGCACAAACCATTGATTGTTATTTTATTCAACCTATCGACAGTACACATAAAAAATAGGAATATGTATGTATGTATACAATAAGTCGAGACCTATCAAGAACTTGATACAAAATCTTACAACCTTTTGTACAAATGAATTTATATTACTCAATTCCTGTATATATATGTATAACTGAATAGTATATACAGCATTCTAGTAGCGTATACACTTATTGTACCATTCTAGCGTATAGCTTGATATTTATATATTACATATTCGGATATTTCTACCATGGTTGCTTCAGGAATCGCGGTCGTCACTGGCGCGAATCAAGGTGTGTACACATGGTCTAGTGTTTGTTTATTTATACTGTAGTGTCCGCAACAGAGTTCTTACTGTGAAACTTCTCGAGTAATCGGCTATATGGCTGTGCCTTAGAACGTAAAAACGAGGCAAGCAGCAGCAAGACTCGAAATGCTCACTTTTTGCGCCACACCGAGGCCTCCTGTCATCTATAGTTGCTCAATTTGGAACACAAATAATACACGCGTACGCATAATGTGCAACTTACACCGTAACAGTAGATCACCGGAACATGGTTATTGCCAATAAGGCACTGGTTATATGCAGGTACATCCACAGTGCAACGGACCACAGTATTTGGCGGCGCGTATCTGTAGTTATTTGAGTTATAGCGATCTTCAACTCTTTATCTTAAGGTAAAATTATTATATAATCTTATACCGCCTCACCATTTCTATTTGTATCATATGTGAGCATGTCCGCATGGTTATCACATCCTTATCTGTGGGGAATCGCAGTTCGTTTTTGTAAACAGGTTATGCCTGTTCATAGTTAGTCATTCGCTATTGCAATTATGGTGCAGATATGTGCGTCGCGCTAGCGTTGACTGCTGATAGTCAGTCGGCCTGTAACGTACAGCTCTATACGATGTTGGGTGTGTCTCTCGCAACTGTTTATTCGAATCTTTTGAGAATGGAAACGCTTTTCGTGTACATCAATCCTCTTTACCACTGTGGAACGTTGATAGGGATTGGATACCACATCGCTCGGTTGATTGCTACAAAGGGTTACAAAACGTACTTGGCATGTCGTCGCGAAAAAGAAGGACAACGGGTAGCCCAGGAGTTGCGCGATGCTGGTCTTGATACCCACTTTGTACAGCTAGATATCAACGACCAAGGCAAGTATCAATTCTTTTATATTAGTAACAACAAGAATGGTAGGGCTCAATATAC